GTTCTGGCGACACATTAAAGGCTTACTGACAGCAAACGATCAGCCTGCCAAATAGCGTCATTTTATTCATACCTATTATTTGTGAAACTATCCAGCCGAAACCAACCAAATAAAGAAAGACGCATGCTCCCTGGTCCACGCACCTGCTCCAACCGCATCATAACCATTCAGATGGTCACAGTCCTTGCTGGCACACGATCTAGCACCGCGCCGTTATCATCGTGATATAAAGCCGACACGACGTTTGATATGCATCGTTACCACGAACGGCAAGCACTCCAGCGTGGCGGTAATGTCACGGAACGACACAGAGCATGACGGGTATTCAGTAAGGTTCCGCTTGCATGTATATATAGCATCTAAACAAAGTACCGCCTCCACTGGTAGATCTATACCTGTCTTCACGTGACAGTACAACCAAAGGACGAGTTTTTCTCGCAGTCAATGCCAATAGGATGTCAGTGCCGCATTCGTCTGACATCAGGTCTCGATTTCTTTGTGCACATCTGTTTCATCTCAGGACTGCGTCACAATGCGACCTACTTGTCTCACACAATTTTGAAAAGACCGCTTTAATGCTCTCAGAATCGCATGTTTTTAAGAGTTGTCTTGAAACATTTCGTCCTTTACGCCATTAAGGTACAGTGGAACGATCACCGCAATTCTTGTCTTGTCGACCTCAGTTTGCTCCGTGATGCTCTCGTGCGTTTTGAGCATCATTTGGGTTTTCAAACCAACGCCCCTAATGCGATCCGTATCTGCCGTTCATCGAAAGTGATTGATTGCTTGGCAACTGCCGTAAGTCGTGCTTGACAGATGTCAGCAGCTACCATTCTATTCCACAACACATTAGGAGTTGTGATCGCCCGGATCAATGTGATCCACGCCCAGAGCTCGGCCCAGATGGCCTCAAAAGCTGACTCACGCCTGTTGCAGACGCAGCGGCAGCCAACCAGGGGCGAGGTGGGGTATGGCTCAGCCACGTCCTGCCGGCACGGACCGGCTTTCAAACTTTGGTGGACTTGCGTTCTTGGTTTTGTCTTTCTTTAAAATGCCTCTGTGATTAGTATGCACCGATAACATGTTACGCATTACACGCTGGCCTATTGGTAAGCTCGCCGAAATCCCCAACTGGCGTTAAACCAATGCTTAGTTCGGACACACAGCAACTGATTCAGCCTCCTGCCCTTCCTGCTATCGCGTAACTTCAGCTGATGTGCTCAAGCATATAGAGACACTAACAACTGCCCGGACGGGTGTTACCCAAATTGTTGGAATCGACTACGCTCCTTCTCAGCGTTCATTAACGGGCTCTGCGTACACCACCAAACAAATTTCCTCCAGACTTGATGACCTGCGCTTTCCGCTGTCAGCCGTTACGACCCTCTCCAAGATTTACTCCCAGCCTTGTGAATGGATGGCTTTCTGGGATCAGAGCTTACGCTAAATAGCGCTTCTTGTGTGAACTCTGACCCCTACCATCCGATCATGCAATTTAGGTCAACAGCAGAATGTAGTGGCGAAAGTTTAACGTGCCGCGATGTTGCGTACGGCCCAAGGCTACTAGAGGAGGCTATGCAGACGTGACGTCACCAAGGGACTAAAGTTTGGTGGCCAGTGTATGGTTTTTGGCTGATACTACGAGAAGGTTGGTAGATACTAGTAGCATGATTACGAGTAGGAGATTTTGCCAATGAACTGGGCAGCCATCCTGCCCTACCTCCTGCCATCTACCATCCTGCTCTTTACCTCGATTTTATATGGACAGATATTGCACATTTTGCATTAAAAACCTTCTAAAGACAAATTGGTACTGCGATCTGCTTCCAAAAATAAATCCTTCTAAACCACGTTTTCTACGTCCAGTACCAGCGCCATATTCGTCGTAGTCAACGTGCCGGAACATTCATGCGTAATACCCCTTTGTGAAATACATATTTATTTGTAAATAAATGGATATCATGTATAACGTTTTCCTTAAATTTATAAATGGCTGGTGATTGTCCATTTATCGTCGTACTGTAGTACCTAAGTGGGGTGATATGTGAAAATCAGATAATGTGAGGGCAGGTGCCAAAAATTTCGCCGTTACTTTACTGTAATCTTATTAGTCACTGGTTGACTTGCAGATACATAAGGTCCGATGGGTAGGTAAAAAAGGCCTGCTGGCAATAATACCCCGACTATCCTTATATATCCAGAAGACCATTTCCCAGCTGACATATGGGGTTCAATTTTTGAACCGCCACCCGGGGTTCATTCATCTGTCCCCATTAGGGCAAACCAAACCTGCATCCACCCTGGCATCCACCCTGCATCCTCCTAAAGCTACAGGATGTGCATTCCAATTTCTCGATGCGCGTCCCAGGGTGCTTGCAACACCCTGGGACAATCTTTTGCCTTTCCGTGCAAGTTCAGCAATAATTTCGTACCTCTGGTGCAAACAGACGCCATTTCTCAGCTGAAAATGCTTCATTGAAAGCGCTAGGTCGAAAAAAGTCAGTTCATGAAGACATTTATGTTTAAACCAGCCCGCAAAAAACAGCGTTTTCATGCGGCCGTAGCATTGGCGCCGAATGACTTAGTCCCATGATGACGTCAGAGCATCGCTACCCAGAATGCAGTAATGTGGGGCTTGGGTTCGTCCTGCCCTCTGACGTCACCTGATTTTCAGTGCGGCCGCTGCCACCGGCTGCAGGTCATGTCTGTCAAGCCCAAATAGCGACTCGAACCACCACGCCTTGGATCGGTGGATCGTAATGCATACCTTTTAACCAACTGAGCTACGAGGACAAAACTTCGCTTCAACAAATCCGCGGCTGTCACTGCAAACTCTCACCATAGCATCCAATTCGCCTGGGTGGGCTACCAAAGCGCATTTTGCACGGCTGGCCAAGCAATAATTTTTTACCTCACTCAGCTAGCATGCGTCCGGGGCGAAAATCGCTCCGCGGTGCACGTTACTGCTGTACATAAATCTCATGCAGGCCTAACGCCGCCCCGTATGAGCTGGTCGACTGACACGCAAGGCCTTACGAGTGAGCACCCAGCGCGGGCATACTTCTGATAGGAGGCGATGTTTCATACCAATTACCCTGTCAGAAATCCGATCGCCCTCTACTAGAAAAAAAATCGCAGCCTGTCGTTCTCTTCAACGCAAATGGAGAGAGCAGTCTCGCTCCCTGGCTTTTGCTCAACCTTGAAACGTCGCATAACCTAGTGCGACCTGACGTAGCATGCTACCGTGTGAGTTATCGGAAAATTGAGTGGCGTTACAGTTGTTGATTGTAAGGTGCTACCGCACCGTTTTTAGATTTTTTCTGCTTTTATCTAGCTCTTTAGCAAACCATTCTATTTTACGTAGTAAGCTAGGAGTGGGGTTGGCAGGGGCGGTCCAATCTCCCCATGATGCGGCAGGTGTCTGGATGATCGCAGCTGGTCAAGGTTAAGTTGCCGCATAGACATCACCAAATCGAGACATACTTCAATCTAACTTTGTAAAAACTGTTGGCGTATGGAAGTAGCGGCGCGACAATCCCCATGGGAGCTTAGTGTTCTAAACTGCGCTCGACGGGGGCCCATTAATAACGACTCGTTTGCCATGTCAGTCATTTCCTCTCCCATGCAGCTGGAGAGTTGGAGAGTTTCAGTCCCGCTTAGCCGACCTGAAAAAAGTTTTTAGTTGGTTATCGCTAAGATAACCACTAAGATACTCAAAACGTTACCATATATAATATTTGTTGGGGAGCGTAGCAAGATTTACAACAAAAAAAACAACAAAACCCTCCGCGTTACAAATCAGGCACGGTACTAAGTGGAGACCACAACAGCCATCTTACCATAAATCTGCGCTGGATGCCCCGCTTGCAGAATGAGAAGAAGAGCAGCACGCCTGTGCATGGTCATTTGAAACTTTTGGATCATGGCATGCTATCTACATGGAATACATATAATTTAAGTGCAAACACACTTGAAACGGTATCTACATATAGTTATATATATGATCTATATATGTATATATGTATATGTATAACTATATGCCTCTATATGCTATATACATACATATATATATATATATATGTATGTATATCATATTTATGTATATATATATGTATGTATATCATATTTATGTATATATATATATATATATCAAAGATTGAAAAATATTATGCAGTAACCCACGGTCGGGCGTTCTAGAGATAGTCTACACCGGCCTCCAAACCACATAAGCCAGTTTCCGGTCACAATGTATCCATGCAAATCGGTTCAGGCCTGGACCATATTTTGAAACTGCTGGAACTTGACATCAGCTGTTACCACCACTACATGGCTAAACAGGCCACTTCGACCCGGACAACAGGATCCGGGAATCACGTCATATACGTGTTATCTGTCATATAACGTCACATGTCGCTCACCCATAATCGAACACACCTGCGCCGGCGCAATTAAAACGGCGAACTTTAATCACTTGCTAACGCGCGGACCGAAAGATCGATAGCCATGCGACTCCTTAGGAGGGAGCCCGTTTAAAATATCGCAGCTGAAAAACTGCCACTGTGCGCTACTACCACTCCTACTCGTATTCCTACTCGCACCCGTACTACTGCTTTTACCGCTACCACCACTACTACTACTACTGCTACTACTGCCACTACAACTACTACTACTACTACTACTACTACTACTACTACTACTACTACTACTACTACTACTACTACTACTACTTCTTCTACCACCACCACCACCTCTACTACTACTACTATTATGTAGTGACGTGAACGTCATACGGTATTTTGACAAACACGTCTACAGCAAACCTTAGAAAAAATGCAATATGTTGTGTTCTAGCTTGCAGGCTGCGTTCAGGAAGTTTCCCCGTTGGCGATTGATTTCCAGACGGTAGCCACAATGGGAAATACAGCGTCCGGGCGAGTAGCACCCACTAGCTGCACATAACGTCGCCAATGGCCTCAGTGCCCGGCGCTCGCCTCACTTACTTGTTCTGGATCTCGCGGGCCGTCCGGGTGCAGTACTCGAAGTCCGTCTGCGGCACACCGTTGGCCGGGGGTTATATGGGTCAGCGTGCTCGGCTGGGGTCACCGGTCGCCCACGCGGCCCGGCCGGCGCGTGGACCGCCGCAGCCATCAGATAACGGCCCCGGCACTGTGGGGGGATGGGGCGGCCGGCCGGGCGAACAGTGCGGCGGACAGCAGCGCAGCTGGGGCCACGCCAGGTGACGGCCCGCGATACTGCAAACCGGCTTAAACTGGTCTGTTTAGCACGACACTCAGAGCGGAAAATACTTTACAAGGGCCGGCGCATAGATACATTACTGATTACATGGACGTTACTAATTACGTGGACTGCAGGTCATCACAGTGGCTGAACAGTGCACAGCGCATCCGGCAGCCATACAAGCCATTTTACGTTGTTTTTGTTCATGTTGGGCTGTTCAAGTTCATGCCAGTAGCATGAGCTCGCAGTTCAAAACGTCGCAAAACCTAGGCATTACTACCATCCTGTCACTGCCATCACCGAAGTACGCGCACCATGACCGGTTCTTAGTCCCGTTGGCGCATACGTAAATCGGCGGTAAGTCTGGGAGCTGCAGCACTCCAACATCCCCACCAGAACGCCTTAATCCCAACTAGCTACGTTGAAAGGGTTGCATTGGTAAAGGCCTGTTCACAGGGACATCACATGACCAGACAAGCTGTCGCTCCAGTGTCAACGGTTCATATTACTTGCAAATCACAGTCACGCGGGTTTATGCAAGCGAGGTCCCTGCAAACACCGCTATGTACTTCAGAGTTCGCCACTGCAATGAGGGCTCGTCCCACCTCACCATGCTCTTATCACCTCGGCGACACGGACCACGACAGCGCTCCTCAGCCCAGCGGTGCGGACCACGACAGCGCTCCTCAGCCCAGCGGTGCGGACCTCGACCAGCGCCCCTCACTCCGGCGATACGGATCAAGGCCAGCGCTCCTAACTTTGGCGACACGGACCACGACCAGCGCCCTTCACCTCAGAGGTGCGGAACTCGACCAGCGCTCCTCAACTCGGCGATGCAGACCACGACCAGCGCCCTTCACCTCAGAGGTGCGGACCACGACCAGCGTTCCTCAGCCCAGCGGTGCGGACCACGACCAGCGCCTCGCACCTCAGCGATGGAGACCACGACCAACGCCCCTCACCTCAGCGATGGAGACCACGACCAACGCCCCTCACCTCCGCGATGAAGACCACGGCCAACGCCACTCACCTCAGCGATGAAGACCACGATCAACGCCCTTCACCTCAGCGATGGAGACCACGACCAACGCCCCTCACCTCAGCAATGAAGACCACGACCAACGCCCCTCACCTCAGCGATGGAGACCACGACCAACGCCCCTCACCTCAGCGATGAAGACCACGACCAACGCCCCTCACCTCAGCGATGGAGACCACGACCAACGCCCCTCACCTCAGCGATGGAGACCACGGCCAACGCCCCTCACCTCAGCGATGAAGACCACGACCAACGCCTTTCACCTCAGCGATGAAGACTACCAGGGCCTCTCACCTCAGCAATGAGGACTACGATCAGGGCTTGGGCGCGCTCCTCGGCGTTCATGCAGTCGATGAGATTCTTGAGCGTGGGGATGAGGTAGTTCTGCACCTGGCGCTTGACAGTGGGCAGGCCCATGACCACCGTCACGTCGCGACGGCCCTGGCTCACGTGCAGCACGGGCGTCAGCGCGTGCGGGTGCCCCAGCAGGTGCGGCAGGTAGTTCAGCAAGCCCGGCACCTGCGGCAGGGCGGCCGGCGCCGTCACAGCCGGCGCGCGCCGCGACGACCGTGCTTAGGCGCGGCACGGTTCTGCCCTCGCCGACGGCGACCCCGTGACCGACGTCACACGGGTGTGGTTGGCGCCCCAGGCCTGCTGCGGCGCGAGCGGGGTCACCTGGGCTTAGGGGCGAGTCGGTGGCTGGGCTCATGCTGCACTGCTGCAGCGCAGCCGCCACGACGCACTAATGCCACAATCGCGCCAATTTGGCGACGTTGTGAAAAGCGAAGGCACCACGAGCGCACCCGATGCCAGTCTACACTTCTGAATAAAAGATCGTCGAACGTCACGCGAAGCCGTGAGCGACTGCACGTGACCGATGGCGATGGCGATGGCGATGGATTATGCACATCACAATTGGCGCACCAATCACCGTCGATGTAAGTAAGCACTCGCCACTACGGACGCGGCGCTGATCGCATGGCACGGCCAGCCAATCGAGCGAACGCATTAGTAGGAGCGCGACGAGCCGGGGGGGGGGGGGGGGGGGGGGCAGCGTCCCATGACCGATTGTACGGCGTATTCCATGAGGTCTGGCATGGTTCATATCGGCATGCAGGACTCCATCAAATGCTTAACGTCATATGGGGCGATTATGATTCAGATCATGACAATCACATCAGATTGTGGCGTGAATTGTGACGTCACTGGTCACATTGTGACGTGAAGCGCGCGGGACACAGCGCAGCCGGACACGCGCAGACCGTAGCGTGCCCGGCAGCACGGCGCGCAGATTGCCGGGCGAGATCGCTATCAACGCGCCGGTCCGCCGCAGCATCCGGAGTGCGATGCTGGCGTCACGATATGGATCACGGCGTCACGGTCTCACGGGTCCGTGACGCGTGTCACGGCTTGTAACGTGGTCACAATGCGTGTAGATAGGAAACTTTCAAAAGATAGCATCTCCGTTTGATCATATCAGCCCCGGTTACACAACTTGAGACCTCCAGAGTGATGGCATAGCTCGCTTTACAAATATAATATATATATATATATATATATATATATATATATATATATATATATATATATATATATATATATATGGCGAAACATCGTTGCTATGTTATTACTCGACGAGCAGTTTTTGGGTTAACGAAGAGAGCAGCTATCATGGAACACACAAAAATAAGCAGGAGCATGTCTACCAGACGAGGAAAACTGTGTGACTACAAATCCTGACAAATATGGCACGGCAACCAACATGTTGAGGAACGACAAACGCCATTCAGCAAGACAATGAATGCTCAAAACTCATATGCACGCGCCATTCTTGGCGTCCATTACAGAAAAATCCGTTCGTAAGGGGAGCGTAGTATTCCAAGTGAGTAACACAACTGCACAAAGCGATACAAACACCGCATGTCATGCTTCTCACGACAGAAGGCGACGTGTTACGTTAATGGCAACAGATGGCAGAATTCACGAATGATAAGCATCACATCCAAAAAAAAAAAACATTGAGTCCCAGTGCAAATCTTAACACGACACGCCCGTACGTCCCTGCTGAGACCATCGCGACACGGTCATGTCTCCGGGTTCGTGCGGGCGGGCAAGCGTACCTCCAGGTCGCTGTTCAGCTCCTGCACGTGCGCCAGCGGGGCGGCCGAGGGCAGCGGCGACCGCGCCGGCGCCGTGGGCTTCCACGGCGTCACCGTGCTGTTCCCCACCACCGCCGGCGGCGGCGGAGGCGGCGGCGGCGGCGGTGACGGCGCTCGGCTCGCCCGCTTTCCTGCAGCGGAGCACACGGTCACGCGTGGAGATGGACCGGGGTCACGCTGGGGTGACCTGGATTTCTGCAGCCTGTCTGTGGTTAGTATGCGTTCAGGCTGGACAGTCCTAGTCAGCCCGAGGTCATTCTGAGGTGGCAGCATCAGTGAAGAATTGCGTGAGTGGCGGTGCGGACCCAAGGAGTGCACGGAGTCACCCTGGAACGAGCTGAGTGTGCCTAAACTAAGTACGGAATCCGTTTGGTGTCGGTCTAAGGCCACGTTGGTCCAAAGTTCTCAAGCCGGTATCGACGACTGTCGGTACATGACCCATTCGTGGCCAGCAGTCCTTCACGTCAAAGCCGCCGTCGCCAAGCTGACGCCCACAGCGCCACGTGGACGGAGAGTCGCGCCAGCAGCCGTGCTGTGCTGGCTGGCCTCCGGACTCGGCCCAGAGCGCGGCGTCTCTCCGACCCTGCCAGACGCGGTAAACAGTCTGTCTCCCTGGCCAGCCGGCCCACGCTGTGTCGCCATTGCGCGTCTGATACACACACACACACACACACACACACATATACTCCCTCGCACATACACATATACACACGCTTGTAGCCTCAGAGCACGACCAAGGCCGTCGGTACCGCTGATGCGTCCGTCCTCCGCCCGGCTGATCCGTGCGCGCACGACCAGGCCGCACGACCCTCACCGGAGGCCCGTGCGCTCCTGACGCCCGCCGGCAGCTTGCCGCCGCCTTCATCTGTCCGCGTCGCATCGCGCACCACCCCGACACCGCCATCAGGTTCACAAGGCGAATGAACACGCCGCCATCAGGTCACGTGGCACCACCGGCAGGGCCGGCTGGCGCCGCGCACCCGGCCCTCCGCACGACAGGCCGGCGTTCGGTGATCCCGCGCGCATGAAGGCGCTGCTGCCGGCCACGGCAAGTAGCCCCAAGCGTCAGCTATCATAAGTACGGTCTGGACGCTGTTCCAACGCCAGTGGGACCGGTGTCCAGCGCGTGGCACGCTGTCGGCACTGCGATCGGTGCGGCGCCAGAACCACCATACATATCCGACGATGATCAAATGACGCGCTAGTGTTGCAGGAGCTCGATAAGCCCGTCTTGCGGTGGGAAATGACCACATACATATGTAAAGCAACCTCATTCCGACGCATCACGGCTGTCCTTACAGTACTACTGCCGTAATGACGACATGCATATGTAAAGCAACCTCATCCCGACGGGTCACGGTTGTCCTTACCGTACTTGTCCTGAGCGAACACACCCTGCCGTTGATTTGAAGAATGCAACTACCACCTGACCTGCGTCAGCTATCAACTCAGTGAGCGCTAACAATATGGTCAGTTGGTATGACCTCACCAGCCTGCAGAAATCACTTTCATTACCTGTCAGTCAGTAACAATGTCACACAGAACTACGTCCATGCCTTCAGGTAACTAGCAAGTAGCCATCAAGAACACGTGCAGAAGCGGTCTGCGGGCTGGAGCCATCATAGATTATTAATGAGCATCAGCCTTCGCCTCTCAATGAGCCAGCTTCCAGAGGCGTTCAGGGTTACGAGCGAACGTTGGTCCTGTGTGGTCAGTAGCTGTAGGTCCCGACCCTGAGCAACCCCCGATAGCTCGTATCAGTCGCAATATTTGATTAGAGTACCTGTGTGTGCAGTTCGCCTGCGCCCCTCATCACCTACTATAGGCGGAGGCAGTCGTTGCACATAAATGCCTAGCAATGATTGGCTAATGTCGAGAATGCTCGGCGTTTCAGGCAAAGCTCATCTTCAAAATCGAACAATGCTGGACAGCAAGCTTTATAAGCGTTTGGCGTTTGGAAGACAGAATAAGTTCCGGCCTGTGTGGACTCTGCCAAATAACCAATCGGTTTCAGCTCCCACATTCAGCCACCTGATGCACGGTATTACGCTAATGGCTGCTCGAGACAGACGGTTTATCGACGGGAATCACTGTCTGCGAGGGTCCGGCCCGGCACACAGCACCAGGCCAGCAGCAGTGGCGCGCGCCCAACAGTGGGGGAGGGTCTTACGGCACAGGACGCTGGTACATGAAACATGACGGAGCGACTTTCCATCTCTTTCCTCTTTTTGCAGCGTAAGTATAAGCAGAGGTCTCATCTTGGGAGGTGCGGTATAAAATGGTCTGTTCTCAGTGCCACAACGATCTCTCTTCGACTAGTTGGGCACTTGATCCACCCACTCACTGACCCCGCCACTTGATTTCATATGCTCAAACCGAGCCTTCCAATAAGCGAAGTGTATGGAGCCACATCCACACGTGCAGTGTCCAACCAGTGCTCATTCAGGCTTTTTCCAGTTCCGCGGTGTCTCTACCAGGTGGGCTCAAAACCCACCGCGCCGTGGATGATCATTTATATCCCAGAGCGAAAGAACCGTAGGGATGGTCATACTTCCCTTCCTACGCTTCGTCCAACTCAGTATAAACCCAGCCCAACCTAACAAACTAGCATTGGAGGAGTCATGGGGAGAGTTAAGCATACACCTGACAGCATTTCAGGGGAATAATTTGTTCGAAAGCATCATTCCCCACCTATCTATCCATTCTTCACTGGGTGAACGGCTTTTCCAGCGGCTAATGACATTCAGAAGTACATGACTTGGACTTGAGCTCCGTTCACATCGGCCGCTCACCATCGCCACCGATCCGACACAAAACACAACTTGCCCCCGAGCAACTACTGAACCTTAGCCTTCATAAGAACTCCGACTTTCAGCTTTATAAGCATACATAATGTTGTCTGTATGTTTACATATTTACAGGTTCAAACCACCACGCCAAATATGCCTGTCATTCCATTTTGACGCAAACGAGAAACACCTTGAGCTGCCGGTTTTTCGGCATCGAATTACCGTCAGCTGACAGCCGCCCGTGCTGATGAGCGTAGCTCAAGGCATCGAGCCGTCAATTCAGCCGACGCTTCCTCAACAACGCCGTTTAATCAGCACCTCGTGGTACATTGCTGGCCGATTATTGTCAGAATACGATCTTCCTACTTTAGCTGCATCCCCCACCCGAAACAACTTTAGTCCAGCTAGGCTCATTAAAATAAAAACGATTCGGGAATTGGACTGAAAACAACAATAATTTGCGGTGCAGCAATTTCTACAGCGATCGTATCGCCGTGTTTAGCGTGTTTTCATAGTATGCGTCAAGTTACCTGTCCATTTTTTTACCTGGCCACGCCCAGTTATCAAATAACTCACTTTTCCAGCTGAGGGTTAGTTAACATTTTCTCGATTTCTTTTTCCGCTATAAGGCTCAGACGACGTAAGCGCGTACGGTCTATACGGCCACTGCCAACCTCGGTCTATGCAGCAGAAAATCAAGTAACTACAATCCAATGAATCGCGCGATCATGGACCCCATCTGACACTTGGCAGCACGTCTGGCAGCGGGTGCCATCTTCGGCTCACGCGATTTGTCATGACAACCCACGGCAAATCCACGTTTCTCCACCTGAGCACCACAGAGCTCCCGGTGCCGCACTGCGCCACGGCCAGAGCGTCCAGAAGCCTATCGGCTGCACGCGCCAATCACGAACCGGTGGTAAAACCCACTGGTATCACGACCAACACATATCGACGAGCTCCCCCTCAACAACATCATTACAGGGCCCTCGTAACTCAACCCGAATGATTCCCTCGTTCGTTCCTCTCTTCACCTCTGGAAGTATTCGGCCCAGTGAGGCGGGTAAAGCCTGCTCCCGATGCCCCTCCGTGGCTATCCCCCTCCCCTCCCAGTGGGGGCGCAACGCAGTCCTTCCACTACGCCGTCAGCGCGACATGCATGCATACTACCGCATGCATACATGCATGCACACAAAACCTGTTCTGGCACCCTTCCAAAGGCCACGAACGACGCTGACCAACTATCGCAGCCTGTCGACCAGGTCCCGCGGGAGAGGCGGCGATCACCAGCCGCGCCGGACGGTACCGTACTCATACGGCCGGCCGCTGCGGCCAGCCGTGGCCGTCACATGCCGACCGGACCCCGCGGCCGCGGAGACCGGACCCCGCAGCCGCGGAGACCGGATCCCGCGGCTACAGAGGCCGGGTACACCGGACCCCGCGGCCGTGTACACCAGACCCCGCGGCCATCTAGACCAGACCCGCGGTCGTGTACACCAGACCCCGCGGTCGTGCAGACCAGATCCCGCGGCCGCGGAGATCGGATCCCGAGGCCGCGGAGCCGCGGAGACTGGATCCCGAGGCTGCGGAGACCGGACCCCGCGGTCGTGTAGGCCGGATAAAGCGGCCGCGGGGACCGCGCGAAGGCCGGTGTACGCGGGGGCGCCAGGCCCGCCCGCCGCGGTACGGCACGTCTGCGCGGCACCAGCCACCTGCGGCAACATGGGCCGGCGGGGAGGCGCATCGCGCCGGGTCGTGTCTTCGGCTGCGCGGGTTGTCCCGTCCGACCGGAACCTCGCCCCGCCGCCGGTGACTAGCACGGCGTCCGCCGCAGCCGGACGCGGCCGTCGGAGCCCGGGCACCGCCGGTCCGGCGCGGCGCCGACCGCTCTCGGCGCGCCGCGGCCGGCCGGTAGCGACGGCCTGCGGTCGGACGGCCCCCAGCGGACGTCGGCAGCGCCGCCGAGGAGCGCACCTCCCGAACAGTGGCCGCCGACGGCCGCTCCGCGCCGCGCCCACCGACCCATGAGTCACGGCCACCGACGGCGTCGTTCGGCCGAGCCGAGCCAAGGCGTCTCTGGCCGAGCCGCCACTGTTCAGAGCCGCGCAGCCCGGCCCCTCTCCCGTAGCCTGAGAGGGACACGCGAGAGCGACGACGGCCAGTACTGCTGCCCTGGTATTGCTGCCAACGACACAGAACGAATGCGAAATTCAGGGGCGACGCCACGCGGGCGAAAACGCCAGCAAATTTCCCGTCATTACTTCAGCGGTTCGGTATTGACGCGAACAGGTTAGCTTGCATGACGCTAAGGCGAAATACGCGCAGCCGGTAAAAGCCACGCCGCTGGTGTGGCACCGCGCGCCTGGCGCAGCCGGGCCACCCCTTTATCCTCCCCGCCAGCACGGTGTTCGCCATCATTTAACCCCAAACAGGACCGGTCACGCAAGAGAACGAGCGTACAAAGAGCTTAACCGGACGGCGCGATGACCTAATGCACCGTGCCGCGCGGACCAAGGCGCAGGCGGCACCTGGACAACCCGGTCAAGGCCACGTGTCCCAGTGAAAAGAGTCGGAATCGCGGCGCTGCATTTTCCACATCCACACTGCCTGCGCCGAAATGGGCCGGCGGAATCACTCGCAGTTTTCCGGGGCAGGCGCGCGACCCGGGTCAGTAGGTATGGCGGAAATGTAGCTGCTGTTGCTGCTCTTTCAGTGCGCTCCCGCCTGCCAGGCCACGTCACTTTCAATGACAATCTGGACTCTCCTCAGAATAGTCTCCAGCACCGGCCTCGCCGCGTGGCACCACCGCTGATGCCAGCTTCAATCCACCACATCCGGATCATGACGTGACACTGAGCGTCCCTCCGGTGCCTGAGCAGCACTATGCACTAGCACATCTGTGCGAACCCCGTTCCTTGACCACCGTGGCGTACAACTCACGCGTCGACCTGGAGGATGAGCTCCCTAATCCACCACTGCGGGAATCGGCCTACCGTTTAGCATCGCGACGAAACACTGCCCCCCCCCCCCCCCTCCCTCAGGTTGTTGGGCAGCTCCGCGTGCCGCTGCAAGACGCAGCATGATGTGCCTGAGTCCCATGCCGTACCGTTGTACGTGTCGATCTGGTGGTTGAGGATCATGACGTCTCGCCGCCGCTCTCTGTTGGTCACCTCGGCGCGCTGCACCCTCTCGCGCAGCTCAGCCAGCTGCTGCACCAGGTTCCGCTCCAGCCGGGTGTCCACTGGCGGCACACAGGGCAGCGCGGGGTCGGATCACGGTCGGGTCTCTCTCACACAGACACACGGCGTCACATCACGACAGACGGGCGTCCACCGCGGCAGCACGGGGTCGGATCACGGTCGGGTCTCTCTCACACAGACACACGGCGTCACGTCACGACAGACGGGCGTCCACCGCGGCAGCACGGGGTCGGATCACGGTCGGGTCTCTCTCACACAGACACACGGCGTTACATCACGACAGACGGGCGTCCACCGCGGCAGCACGGGGTCGGATCACGGCCAGCCCACACACGGCGTTAGTCACGACAGCTCTACACCAACATCCCGCTGCAGCCCGGCACGTCTACGAGACTTCGTGTACGTATATGTATAAATGTATATTCATATATATATATATATATATATATATATATATACAAATATATATATATATACAAATATATATATATATATAGCTATATATATATATACAGGGTTACAGGGTTAGGTTATATATATATATATATATACATTTATCATAGCAATAAATATCAATGTAAATATTTATATATAGATATATATGTGATTTCCGTGCGCACGGACGCGTGCATGCGTACGTACGGACGTGCGGGTGGGTTCCACCAATCGGAGTGTCAAGTACCGAATGAACTGATTTGTGGTGAAGATGGGGCACAGGCAAACTACGAACACAGATCCTCAAAGCAAATCCTTCGACTGATGCGAGCTGTCGTGAGTTGCTCAGAGTCGGGACCTACAGCTACTGACCGCACAGGACCAACGTTCGTTCGTAACCCTGAACGCCCCTGAAAGCTGCCCCATTGAGAGGCGAAGACTGATGTTCATTGATGGTTCACGATCGCTCCACTCTGCAGACCGCTTTTCCACGCGTTATAGATGAGCTACGTGCTAGTTTCCTGAAGGCATGGACATAGTTCTGTGTGACATTGTTACTGACTGACAGGTAATGAAAGTGATTTCTGCAGGCTGGTGAGGTTATACCAACTGGTCATATTGTTAGCGCTCACTGAGTTGATAGCTGACGCAGGTCAGGTGGTAGTTGCATTCTTCAAATCAACGCCAGGGTGTGTTCGTTCAGGACAAGTGCGGTAAGGACAGCCGTGATGCGTCGGAATGAGGTTGCTTTACATATGCATGTGGTCATTTCCCACCGCAAGACGGGCTTATCGAGCTCCTGCAACACTAGCGCGTCATTTGATCATCGTCGGATATGTATGGTGGCTCTGGCGCCGCATCGATCGCAGTGCCGACAGCGCGCCACACGCTGGACACCGGTCCCACTGGCGTTGGAACAGCGTCCAAATCGTACTTACTCCCCTGTGCACGCAGCGACCACCACACCCTCGTGCCCCTACACCTCATGCGGTGAGGCGGCGACCGTCGCCTGGCGGAGACCCGCTTGACCCCCGGGCCCGGCGGCGAGGCTGACCTGCAGCGTGGCGCCGGAGCGGGCCGCCCGGCAAACGGCGGCTGCGTGCAGGTCACCGGTCACCAACCGGCAGGCGGACCTGACCGGCAGACAACCCAGAGACCGCAGACCGGACAAGCAGCTCCGGCCCGGCCGCCACCGTCAGCCGCCCGGACTAGGCGGGGTCGCCAGTCCGCTGGACGTCTCCCGGTCAATCAATCCGTGGAGTGAGAGCGGTCGTTGTACAAGGACCGGCTGCGACTAATTAGCATCTCGAAGACTGATCTCGTGTTTGCCATTTGCACTGGCGCGTAAGAGGCGCTGTCATGTGTCGCCGCGCGGTGTCAGCGGTGGCCCTGCCATCGACGTAACGCGAGCGGATGACGCTGGCGTGCACACATGACCGTCACGTGTGCGCGCGCCGCCGCACGCCGTCCGTGACGGCCGACACTCCGAAGGACGCACTGACTGGACCCGGCCCGTACGTATACGGGCCGGCGGATGCGCATCCGCGGTGTCGCGACGGCACCACACGCGCGATATGTCATCGCGGTGGCGTGCCTGTTGCGCGGCGGCCGACGGCGGCCCGGATGCCGCCCGCTCTGGCGTTTGTGCGTGGCGCACAATGGTGGATGACGGCTGCGTCACGGTCGGCCGGCTGCTCTGCTGCGCTCGGGAGCGGAACAGCCGGAAAAGCGCACTGCGGCGCGCTGCATCCCGTCCGGCGGCCTGTCGTTGCGCGGGAAATGGCCGAGCAGCCGTGGCACACGCGCCGCCCGCTGTGAGTGTGCGGCTGGGGTCGTCGCGGCGTGGGCGTCGGCAAACAGCGCCTTGCTGTTCAGCAGGTCTGACAGAGCGAGCGGCAGACGCACTAGTCTTTCTGCACATTTGCAGTATTCAGGCGTGGCCGCTGCTTTGCTCGTCGATATAGACACGGATAGTCAACCCACCATTTACTGGAACGATCTATTGCGTGTACGTCCGTGGATGTTGAATGACCATACGCTGTATGAGGTGCGCGCGCTATAATCAATGACGTTGGCCGGGCCCCGCGTGGCCAGTCTCTGTGGGACTCGACGTCAGACACGGTACAAGGACAGGCAGAATGACAGACAAACGCGTGGACAAGGACGCAGCTAGCTGGCCCCATGCAGTCATTGTCAGACGGCCGCCATCCGCGCCGTCACGTGCTAGCGGTGGCGTGTGGTGGCGCCATCGCGTCTTCAGCGGGCGCCATGGGTGTTCGGCAGCGGGCGCCACGGCCGTGGGCCCGCTTACCGTGGCCGACAGCGGCACCTGCACGCGCCGCAGTGTCACCGAACGCCGGCCTGTCGTCTGGAGGACCGAGTGCGTGTCACCGCCCGGTCCCGCCGGTAACCGCCTTGTGCACGTGATGGCGGTGTCGAGGCGACGGCGCGATTCGGCGCGGATATATGGAGGCGGCGGCGAGCTGCCGGCGGGCGTCAGGAGCGGACGGCCCCCGGTGAGGGTCGTGCGGCCTGGCTGTGTGTGTACCGATCATCCAGCGGGCGTCAGCAGCGGACGGGCCTCCGGTGGGGATCGTGCGGCTTGGCCGTGTGTGTGCGATCAGCCAGTCGGAGGACGGACGCATCAGCGGTACCGACAGCCTTGGTCGTGCTCTGTGGGGTCGACAGGCTACAAGCGTGTGTGTATATGTGTGTGCGAGGGTGTGTATGTGTGTGTGTATCAGACGCGCAATGGCGGCACAGCGTGGGCCGGTTGGCCAGGGAGACAGACTGTTTAACGCGTCTGGTGAGGTCGGAGAGGAGACGCCACGCTCTGGGCCGGGTCCGGAGGCCAGCCGGCACAGAACGGCTGTTGGCGCGACTCTCCGTCCATGTGGCGCTGTGGGCGTCGGCTTGGCGACGGCGGCGGTGACGTGCCGGACTGCCGGCCACGAATGGGTCGTGTACCGACACCCGCGCAACGCCGGCTTGGAAACTTTGGACCAACGTGACTTCAGACCGACGTCAAACTGATTTCTTACTGACTTTGGGCACATTCCCAAAGTTCAGCTCGCTCCAGACTCCGTGCGCTCCCGGGGCCCGCGCTGCCACTCATGCAGTTCTTCACCGATGCTGCCACCTCACAATGACCTCGGGCTGACTAGGACTGTGCAGCCTGAACGCATGCTAGCCACAGAGTGCCTGCAGAAATCCAGGCCACCCCAGCGTGACCCCGGTCCATCTCCACGCGTGACCGTGTGCTCCGCTGCAGGAAAGCGGGCGAGCCGAGCGCCGTCACCGCCGCCGCCGCCGCCGCCGGCGGAGTCGTGGAACGGCGCGGAATGTATACATATATATATATATATATATATATATATATATATATATATACATATATATGCATGCGTATATACGCGCAGACCTGTGCAGTGTACTGCAGTCGGTGCAGACCTGTGCAATCAGTGTAGTCGGTCGCATAAGTTGAGTCTTTTGCTGCTCAAATCCTACTGGGCTGGTTCAGCTGTGAAGTCTGGACAGTCGGCCCGACGGAAATAAGTGTGATGGAACACAAGCTATGTGACCTGAACAAGTGAGCGTGAACTCACATGAACACGGAACCACGGGTGGATCCGTTAACGCCCCCACCCCCACTCCCATTAAAATGCATGAGTAGCGATAGTGCCATACGGTTGCGGTGCCACACCCCTGTGACGCAAAATATTTTGATCACTCACGGCAACCTGGATTTGGGGGCGGCGCGGAAGCTCTACCAAGTATCTTGCCCACTGAATCGAACGAGCACACCGCGGTTAAGGCACTGAGCAGAAAACACAAACGTTGAAACTGGACCTAGCAACATGCTTTTCGCTTAAAGCAGTTAACAGAACTTGATTGTGAAAAAGAGTGTGTAGCCATAACAAAACACAAGCGAAGAGGGGATGCGTTTGGAAGCTACATATATATGTAGCACTGACGCCGTACTTTGCATAGATGTAAACAATTCAATTGCCGATCTTCCAGCATAAAATATTAGGTGATTCCTCACGATCGCTGACCTGTAGCGGGTCAAAGTCAGGCCATAGTTGTCAGTGCAGGTAATTCTTAGGAAATACTTTAAGTTGATGCGACAAAGGAGTGTTAAGAATAACCCAAAAACTTAAGTCGAGACGATTTCTAAGACAAGCATACAACTGAAATCATAATTACAACTAATTTCAGTGGACTTGGGTCAGGTGTAAACGTAAACTTTCAGTCAAAATCGGATGCTTCCGCTGAAAAACTTCCTTTATGGTAAATTGTTTCTCCTCATTTCGAATACCTTGATCACAAGAACGTTGTCGGGCTTCCGTCCAACCTTTTGGTTCGAAGAGACACGCCGCCTTTGAAAGTTTTTCACCCTGAGTTGTCCTCAAATATAAAGACAATCTTCAAGGTTTTTGGTCATTTATACCTTTTCAATAAACATGTTACATGAATGTGGTGTTTCTAGCTCGTTAGGTTTCCATATCTCAGAAAGCCCAAATTGACCATCCCTCACCGAAGAAAGGCCAAACGTACCCTCCCTCAAGGAAGGGAGGTCAAACTGACCCTCCCTCACCGAAGGGAG